TTTTTTTTCAAACATCCATTTCTGTTGGATTATTGCTGAAAGATACTAATCAATCTATTTCAGAAATCTCTAGACTAATTTACAAACATCCATAAAATAGTGAAAAAATTGCATGCTTTAGAAACCTGGTATGTTTTCATGCCTCTGGACTAAAAAGATGAAGACGATAGCAAATGAAGAACATTTTAAAGATAGCAGGATGATGTTTAATTCGTCTTTTCCTTGACTTTAGCTCGTTCATCAGGGTTGCTTTCTTTTCTCTCCACTGATTTTTTAATCCCAGGTTTAATCCATGGAGGACTGTGTGACTTCTGTTGACAGAGGAAGAAAAACCCTATCAGCATTAAGAAATGTATTATTTTATAATTAATTTTAACTTCTGTACTTTGTTTTATATTATTGGTCTTAAAAACTGTGTGTGTAAAGAAATGTACTGTTTTCGGAGAAAAAAACAATGAAAATAATAGTTGGGGGTAATCCAGTCATCCTTTTCAATTTCTTATTAGGATCCTTTATTTCAACACCATCAGTGTGCCTCATACTGTCAAGAGCAAAAGATAGTCTCTACCCTGAGCACTTTATAAAATTCAGCACAGGGGTGACTTGTCAGGGCAGACAGGAAACAATAAGGTACAAATGTTGTGTTACAATTGAACTGCTCATTTTATGCTTGAAAATAGAATGTCATAATAATCTTGTAAAATGTTGCATGGATGTGACTGTAACTACTTCTGTTTTGTCCTCTGAGATTCTGTTCAACAGTGATCTTTACTTTTGTTCAGACTATAAAGTTGCTAGCCAACCTTTCCGAGGGTCCTTTAGTGAGTAATACAAGGTCCAGGGAAACCAGGATAAAATCTTAAATGCAGCCAGAAAACACACTGGATGTCCTTTGGTCATTTATTTTCACTGAATGAATATGATCAGCACACATTTGCACAAATGCATGTTATGTAGAAACATTAATCAGGAAGTCAGGAATAACTGTAATTCTCTATCAATTGATAGCAAACCTCCTCCCCACCAAGGCTTGCAATCACAAAACTCATGAAACAAACACCTGCAACCATTATAGATAATTTTTGATTAGATGATTATTAGTACACCTGTCGCTTATTTTTATAGCTATATTGTATTGATTTCTATTTAAAATTAATTATTGCACAATCATTTAAATATTAATGGAATGATAGAGCATGTATTAAAGTAACCATTACAATACTTTAACTTCAATATACTCAGTCTTAATGGTTCCAGCCCACTTGCGGGGGAGGGTCTGCTTGCAGGCGAGGGTGGGATAGAAATCCCATTGTCCCGAGGACAGGACTCCCAACCCCCCCAAGGCAAGAGAAGACCATCCCCCCGAGGAGTTGGGATGACGTACCGCGGTGCCCCCAGTACTCACCAGGGTGACCGGCCAGGCAACGGGAGATGTGGGGGGTGCGGGAAGGGCTGAGACGCCGCTCCCTTCCCCCCCCTGCATGGAAGGAGCCCATGGCAGCAGGGAGGGAGTTGGCAACGAGGCTTCGGAGCCGCACAGGGGGAGGGACAAGGGCGGTGGGATGGGAGGCGCAAGAGCCCACCCACGAGACCGAGCGAGGCGACCCAGAGCGGACAGACCGGAAGGAGCTGGAGCCACACCCTGTGGGCCGCATCGGCGGCTTTGTAACGGGGCGGGGCCAAGGGAGGAGAGCAGCACAGGGAAGAGCAAGGCATACTGGGAACCAGGGAGAGGGGATATAAGGGAGGAAGAGGAGGAGGTCGGGGATGACTCCTGGAGGAAGAGTTGACCCAGAAAGAGAGAGCGCTTCTTCCAGCAGGGACGGGTAGGTGGGGAAGGTGACGTAACCTCCCTCCCCCGATGAATATGATCAGCACACATTTGCACAACGTTAATCAGGAAGCCAGGAATAACTGTAGTTCTCTATCAATTGATAGCAAACAACCTCCTCCCCACCAAGGCTTGCTATCACAAAACTCATGAAACAAATACCTGCAACCACTATAGATAATTTTTGAGTAGGTGATTATTAGTACACCTGTCACATTTTTATAGCTATATTGTATTAATTTCTATTTAAAATTAATTATTGCACAAACATTTAAATATAAATGGAATGATAGAGCATGTATTAAAGTAACCATTACAATACTTTAACTTCAATATACTCAGTCCTATTGGTTCCAGCCCACTTGCGGGGGAGGGCCTGCTTGCAGGGGAGGGTGGAATAGAAATCCCATGAAATAAATAAATAAGACAAATCTCTCATCACGAATGTCTAAATCTGTCCCAGTGGAATAAGTACCTCGGGACACTAATAAGCAATCCTTCTACAGCTCATTGTCCTCAATGGATTTTAAAAGGGTGTTAGGACTACACTATTAATTTTAGAGGAGTGTTTAGTGAGTTAATACAAAGATAAAATTATACTTTATTGGAAACAAAAAACTCAGCTGACATACATGTCTCCCTAAAATCTGCTGTTCCAGAATTAGAAAATAGCCAAAGAAATGAAACTTAATATTTGATAGTCAGGTCATAGGGATGCCAGCCTCCAGGTAGGACCTGGGGATCCCCCCAGAATTACAGCTCTTTCCCAGGCTACAGAGATCAGTTCCCCTGGAGAAAATGGATGCTTTGGAGGGTGGACTCTATGGCATTGTATTCCACTGAGGTCCCTGTCCTCTCTAGGATTAGGGATGCCAGCCTCCAGGTGGGACCTGGGGATCCCCTGGGGTTACAGCTCATCTCCAGGCTACAGAGAACAGTTTCCCTGAAGAAAATGTGTGCTTTGAAAGGTGGACTGTATGGCATTGTACTCCACTGAGGTCCCCGTCCTCCCCAGGCCCCACCCCCACATCTCCAGGAGTTTCCCAACCTGGATCTAGCAACCCTAATCCCCCATCCCCTGCCAGTGGCCAGGAGGGGGCTAGCAACCCTAGGTCTGAATTTGTTAAAAACCAACAAGAATAATACCTGAACATTTGGGTCTGTTTCTGCCAGTGTCAGCTGCAGAGAGCTTGAATTGTTTCGGTTTCCTAAACAAGCTTTGCGTACCTGAAAGGGAAAGGACCAGAATCATACAACTGGTTCACAGTTTGACTCTCCATTTAGCAAAGTCGTGAGATGAACACCTTGCATTAGAGACCCCAAGTTCCTTTATCAAAACTAACATCTGCATGCTACAACATGTCTACTCCTGTGTCATACTGGAAGGGAAAACACATGAATGCAAAAAGCAGGCATGATATGTCAGGGGGAAGGAATTGACTACAGCACTAGGATACAGGTTCCACTATTGTGCATACTAGCACCTTCCCTTTAAATATTATAGAAAAGATGCAGCTGACACACTGGAGTAATGGAAATGCTGGAACACGTTATCTCCTCTAAGTGTAAAGTGGCCCTAATTCATAATTAAAGTAATGGAAGTTCTCTATGTGTCATAATTAAAGTAATGGAAATTCTATATGGCAAATAAACATGAAATCTCTCAGACAGGAAAAGAGTCTTTAATTATACTCCTTAAAAAGTCTAATCTGAACGTATTACTTCATGTTATTTAACAGAAGTAAATCACTGTTTAGCTTTCTAGGATAAAGACTTAATTGGCAATTAACTGCTGTGCAGGAAAAAACTCAGACTTGGTGTCAGTGGTAAAAGGTGGTAGAATTTCTCACAGTTTTGTTTTTAACTGAGTCAAATATATTTTTGAGAAATCATTTGATTCGAAAGATAATTTAGAAAGACATTTGGAATGTGTGTGTGTGTATCACAAATTAGCAGCTGTCTAGACAGGTCAACATATTTTTAGATATAGGCTTGGATCCGGACTGATGCTTCCATAAGTGCAAGGGCTTCTACACATGGAGCATGATTTCCCTCCCCCATCCTGCAGCAGCTTGTACCCCTCCCTCCAGTCCTGGGGAAGAGAAGAATGGGGAAAATCATGCTGCATGTATGAAAATACTTGTGCTTGTGGAAACATTCATCTGGATCACATCCCTGTGGTACTATTTTCAAGCAGAACAATTTATAATTCATCATCATCTATATAGCTAACTAGGAATAAGGCCCATTGTGGAAATAAATACAACGAGCTCTAGAAAGAGGCTCTGGGAGAGTTCCAAGGCCTTGAGCACTCAGTGTCAATTTGCTGTGGTGACCTCCTCAAACCCCACCCTCTCCAGGCTCCACCCCTGAAATCCCCAGGAATTTCCCAACCTGGAGTTGGCAACCCCATCCCCTTCTCAGCTAACCATCAACCTACTATTATTTGCCCCTCTGACTGCAGCTGATGTCTGCCCTCCCTCCTTGAGATCAGTTGTAATTCTGAGTGATCTCCAGCCCTCACCTGGAGTTTTGCAACAATGGTTCCCCCGGAGAAATGAAGACTGAGGGACAGACAGTAGGTTGGCTGTTTGGTTAGAAAGAGAGAGGGAAGCAGGAAAAGGGGAGAGGCTGTGGGGTCTTTCAGGACAGGGAAATGGAAATAGTGTGGGAGGGGAAATGAGATACCTCCTGCAAGTACTTGAAGGTTTGTACTTAGTCCATATTATAATAATAGGATGGATCCAGTGGGTACATTCCTCTAACAGTGGCATCTTCTCCCATTGTAAGGATCTAAATACCTCCTATGTTACAACTACATTTGTTTCTCGCAAAATTAAATGCTATATATTTGCAAGCTAAACCAAGCTAGCTGGATCTCGTCAGATCTCGGAAGCTAAGCAGGGTCGGCTCTGGCTAGGATATGGATGGGAGGCTTCCAAGGAATACTAGGGTTGTGACATGGAGGCAGGTAATGGCAAACCATCTCTGAATGTCTCATGCCTTGAAAACCCTATGGGATTGCCATAAATCACATAAATGACTTTATGACAAAAAACAAAAACAAAAAACTCTAGGTTTCCACAACCTGGAGCTTGGAGATCATATCAGACACCTATACCATCAGAACTGGGTTGTCATTGGCCACAGTACAAGCAGAAGTGGTGCAAAGAGTAAATAAAAGGAAATCAGGTATCCAGGCTCTGTAATTAATTTCATTTTTCTTTCTAATTGTAGAGCCAGTGTGGTATAAGTTATCTACATGGCATATGTTCTGCTTTTGGCACATGGTCCTCTTCCCGGAATATTTCCAAGGTTTCTCACTGTGGTCTATAGCAACCTGCCAGAACTATAGGCAGCTGCTGTGCAGATAGTATTTTACATTTTATGCTGGCAGCAGCTATCATTAAACTTCCAAACTATTAAAAAAAACCTAGTTAATATTGCATTGGGAGACACTGCGGGGTGTGGGGGGGAGGGAGAGAAACAGCCTTCATTGTAGACCTGAGTCTTCGGCATGTAAATATTCTTCCCTTTTAGACAGCAGCCTTCTTGTCTTGTGCTAATAGAGCAGTGGTTGTCATAGAAATAAGATAATATCATTGCCATCCTAAAAAGAGTTACATGCTTCTAAGCCTATTGGTATCAATTGACTTAGAAGGATGTAACTCTGTTTAGGATTGCACTGTCTGAAAATAAAACTATTTGATGAAGAGGAACTGTATAAATAACAAGGAAGGATGAAAGTTTGTTTGCATAGGTAATATGTGACATAAGCCACATTGTTTTGCACAGAGTACTGTGTGCACAGAGCAAAATCCTCTTCTTCTCTCAGCATGGTATTGCATAGGCACATACTACAAGGTTACAAGGAACTGGTTACTGTGGCGACAAGCACTGGGCACTGACAACCTGTCATCCACACAAGCTGTGTTTCCTTAACAACAACAAACTATCAGAATCAAATGGCACCTAATAACAAAAAACCAGCCCCCCCAACCCACAAAACAAGAACAAAAATATCAACTCAAACTACTACTATTTGTGAGACACTGATATTTTCCCCAGAAGACTGGAGTGATCACAGTCTTGGATCAGATATGCACTGAGTCCTTTCCCATGAGGATGGCGCAAGAGTAGAAACCATTCTGCTTAGATGAGGTTTAAGCTATATTGAATCCTGATATTTTCTATGGAAAGCTGCTGCAACTAACAATGCTGAATGATCATTAAGTTGCACATATATAATACCTTGTTGGATCAGTCAAACACACACTCCCTTCTAGTGTAGGACTTGCAGTGCAATCTGATGTAGTTACTTCACTTATGGATATTTGCACTGCATGGGTGTTATTCCAAACAAATCTTAAGAACAGAATCAACTAATGTGATTTTAGATTAAGAGTTACTTTTATTGTTATTTTGGACTCTGGTATGTTTGCAGTAGTTTTGGCCTAGCATTGCCTCTTTGGAGCACATAGGAATACCATGGCAGTTGTTGTTGTTCAGTCGCACAGTCGAGTCCGACTTTTCACGACCCCATGGACCAGCTCCCGCCATGGCAGTACATTGGGTTTAATTTTCAGTCTGGATACTTTCACTTCTGCTGCTTCAAGTAAGTATCCTGGATCCTCCTTATGTCTAACTGTATCCAATTTGATGCGCTCTGGTTACAAATAAATGACTGGATGCACAAAACTTTGTTTGTACTCACAGTAAAAAAGTAAATGTGTCCGCATAGACAGAAGCTTGCTTAATTGCAGAGAACTGTTTGCAAAGAATATAAAGAGCAGCAGTGAAATTGACACAATTTTTCCCCACCTCTGAAGTGATACAGAAAGGACCCTCACAGTGAAATGGATAACAGGCATCCTTGTCACTTTAGCCTCTATAATGAAGGGATCTTTTCTGATTCAGAGATGGAAGGGAATTATTTTAATTTCATCATTGATGTTTGTAACTTTGTTAGCAGAGAGTAGATGTTATCCACAGAGTGGTGTCTAAGGCTGCACAAAGCAGTGATTTTCATTCCAGGAACTTTTACTACAAGTCTAAAGAAGCTTCTTCATGGTGGAAATGAAATAAACAAGGATTTGAAGCTGTTTGAGCTGTCTGTTGTAGGATCTGGGGCAAAGTCTCAGTCTCTGCCTCTGGTCTCTCTGCTTTCCTACTGATGGACCCAATTTGCTAGCAGACAAGTGTACATTCCTGGAAAATGAAATTGCTCATGCCACAATACAGAATAGCAATAATAATAAACTCAAACATGGAAGTAGTGAAAAAAATGTCACAAAATAGAAACAATGTGCACCCCTCCAAAAAAAAAGAGAAAAAAAAGCAAAACCCAGAACAATCTCATCTGATGGAAACATCAGCAATCTCTTTTGGATGGACGCTTCCCTGTCACACACAGACCTACTGGGTCACCCTCTGTCTTCTCCCTATTCAGTCTTCCAATGAGGGGGAAATCTATGGGATACAGTCATTCCTGGGTATAAGCTCTATAGGCAGGGCAGGGAGAGATGGGTTGGGAGAGGTGTTGCATTGTACATCAAAGAGGGCATAGAATCAAATATGTTAGAAAACACCAAGGGAATTAACTCCCCAACAGAAGCTATACGGGTGGAAATACTAGAGCCTGAGGGTTACTTAAAAGTGGGGGTGTACTATCGCCCATCTGATCAAACCCTTGATGCTGATCTTGAGATGGAGAAGAAAATAAGGAAGGTGACTAAAGCAGATAATGTTATTATACTTGGAGACTTCAACTACCCTGACATTGACTGGGTAAACATGTTCTCAAGTCATGCTGTATAAATGAGATTCCGAGACATAAATAACTGTACACTAGAACAGTTGGTCACAGAGGTGTTCTGAGTGGGTCTCAAGACCTGATGAGAGATGTACAGCTTGTTACACCAACTGAGAACAGTGACCACAATGCTATTAAGTTCAGCATTCAGGTCAATAGAAGGTTACACCTAAAGCTCAAAACTGTCACATTTGATTTCAAAAGAGGGAACTTTACAAAAATGAGGGAGATAGTAAAAAGGAAGCTGAAGGGGAAACACAAAAGAATCAAATCCCTAGAGGATGCGTGGAAGCTATTTAAAACCACATTAATTGAAGACCAAATAGAATGCATTCCATAGGTTAGAAAAGGCACTGACAAATCTAAAAGAAGGCCTATGTGGTTAACAACGCAAGTCAAGGAAGCTATAAAAAGT